TGGCTCTCAAAAGAAATTTCAATTGTTATACTGTTGATCTTTGGCTCTATTGACTAATGAGTTGCCGACCACTGGCCTAGCTGGATGACCTCTGCACTGGGGTGGGGGCGGGTGGGGAGCTTGAACTTCTGGCTTTGGAGCCTTTCCGATGGGCAGGCGGGGGCCCATCACTGTCACTGATTTCACCTGCCCGTGAGCCTGCAGGTGCTGATGGACAGGATAGAGCACCCTCAGGTCTGACCCTCGTGTCTGCCCTGGGTACAGTGACCAGGGCATGCCTGCATGCAGACTTCCACTCCTGTTATCCCCATAGCCCAGGGCAATTCTCTGTCTGGATTTGCAAATAAGTGTTGGGGCAGTTAGATTGTGGACCCCTCAAGCAAAAAACGGTGTTGGTGGGAAAGACAACAGTCCCCTCCTGCTTCTCTTTCTCTCTTCCTCCCTTGTCAGATCAGAGAACTCAGGGAGAGGGTAAGGAGAAGGACAAGAAATAGTATGAGTAACAGCTGCACAGTGTCTTCTGGAAAGGGAAGATAATCATGGAGCTGTTGTGAGTCAGTGCTTCTCCGCCCCGGCTGCACATCAGTCACCAGCAGCTTTGAAGCACAGTAAATCCTCACTCTACGTCATCAACAGGTTCTGCAACGCTAAGCTAAACAACATATAAAGAAGCCAATTTTGCCAGAGGCCGATTGATATGAACAAGAGTTACATTTCAGTAGCATCTCATTGCTTGTTATAATGAAATGACATTACTCAAGGACGGGCTGCATCCGGGTTCCCAGGCTGCAGCCCAGGCCCAGGAGATCAGAATCTCTGGAGACGGAACCCAGGCACCAGTAGTTGTAACTTCCTCACAAGACTCCAACCTGCAGCCAGCATTGAGAACCATTGCTCTAACGATGAAAAGAATTGGCTAAATGCTTAGAACAGAGATATTCCCACAGCTGGCCGTGCATTGGAATCATCAGGGGAGCTTTTAAAATTACACTGATCCCCTGACCACACATTGCAGACCATGCAAATCAGTGACTTTTAAAAAAAATTTAATTTATTGATTTTGGTATCACATAATTGTCTTCATCCCCCCATTCCCATCCCAAACCCCTCCCCACATATGCCCCCACCCCCCTGTTGTCCATGGCCACTGGTTAGGCTTATATGCATGCACACAAGTCCTTTGGTTGATCTCTCCCTCTTACCCCCACCCTCCCCTACCTTCCTTCTGAGGTTTGAGAGTCTGATCACTGCTTCTCTTTCTCTGGGTCTGTTTTTGTTCATCAGTTTATGTTGTCCATTATTTCCTCTAGATGTGTGAGACCAAGAAATACCCTTGTAAGAACCGAAACTGAGACAAGCCATAATGGTTATGCTGAGAGGCAAATGAATCAGTCTGTAGTGAGTTCCTTTCTGGGCCAACAGTTCTTTTGAGTCCCAATTTCAATGTCAGATAGTTCCTTATGTGTACATGTCAGCCATGATAGTTCAGATCTGGTTGGTGGACAAACGGTGGTGATGCAGGTCCGACCCTCAACCAGTGACTTCTGTGTCTAATGCCTCTTGCTCAGCCTTCACCCGAGCCACAAACTCGTAGTTATAACAGCCACCACCGATCAGTGCTGACTACGGGCCAGCATTACAGACATTTGCAGTCTTCACAGTTCCCAGTGTACAGATGAGGAAGCTGATGCTCAGAGCAGGTAGCCTCTTGCCACAGGTGACAGTGTAAGTTCCTGAACCAGACCTGTCTGACCTTGAAGTCTGCTCTCACTGCCCAAAGCCTCACGGCCTGGGGCTGGCCCTAGCGGGGCACATTCCCCACTCTTTCCAGGAACAACTCCAGAAGAGAGGAAAACCAGCAAGAGTCCCTGGATCTCCTGAGACTCCCCAGGGCAGGCTGAGTGGAGGACCCCTCTCCCCCCACCCCCGAGAAGAGGGGGAAATGAGCGCTATTGCCTCGCCTTTGTCTCCGAGATAGTCACCCCCTCTCAAGATACCTCCTTTTGGCGGGAAGAAGATGCCTGCATGTTAGGCCTGACCCCCAGGCACTTCCTATTGCCACAGCTGCTCGCACAAAGAGAAAACTCCACCAGGAAAAGCAAACACTCATTTGCTTTTTGAGAGTTGGAGGAATTTTTCAGGCATGCAATATAGAAAAATGCCTTTGTTTCCCTTGTATGAATAGGGGAAGCTGTGTCAAGGTCACCTGAAATAGTGATTTCCTGGTGCCTCCACCTCTGTGCTCTGTAAGTTTATACAAATTGCTTAAAATCCTCACGCGTTGGTTTCTCACCAGTCAGCTGGGAAGAGGGAGCTCTGTCTGCCCTCAGGACTGCTGATGCCAGGCCCCTTGAGGTATCAGAGAGAGAGGAGAGAGTGTGGCGTCCGCGCGGAGACTCACAGCCGCCTGGACTGAAAGCTTCGTCAAGTGTTTGCTGGCACCCACTGAAGGACCCAGTGTCCCCAAGGCCCAGAGTGGTTCCAAGCCACCAGCTGTGTTAGAGATCTTGCTTAATGTGTTCACTCCGGCTTGGGGAGGACTGGCTTTGCTCCACCTGCGTCAGACGGGCGTTTCGACAGCTGAGAGCATATTGAGGCATAAATAGCCGAAACTTTAACATTAGCGGACAATGCAGTACAATTTGGCTCCACCAAGCCTTCCCTGCCCACCCCAGCCCCCCCGGGTCCTCTCCCTCTCCAGAGCTCCTTTTGATCCCTGCCCTTTACTGCCTGGCACAGAGCAGATGCCGAGCCAGCGTTGAGTGAATGAGGATGTGTGTCTGGTGACATCTCTGCAGCGTGTTGGCATAGGTATTCCTTGCTGGCTCTACCTGACTCTTTTGTGTGTGTGTCACTTAGGTTTGTTTTGAAGGTTGCCTCATGGAGTATTATTCTAGTAATGGGATGTTCAGATGTGTGCTGTTTTCCGAGGTCGAGGCAGATCTCCAGAGTATTTCATTGTGTAGCTCTTACCCCAGAGCCGCTAAGAGAGTATACATCCCAAGTGTGGAGTCTGGTGGCCGCTTATTAAGCTTACTCTAAGACTCTCTGAGTTCTGTCTCAAGCAGTGGGTGTTGTGGCTGGCAAGAAAACATGGGGCCATGGTGGAAGGGGAGTGGGAGGACCCTAAGAAGGGTGGCTACTGGGCAGTCTCCAGGGACTTAGAGCTGCCCTCACTGGATGCCTGGACTGAGATAGCGAAGCAGAGGCTGCTGGCCTTCCCTGGGGGTGGGCGCACCCAGGGAAGCTGGCTTAGTGCCGCCTGCCGCTCTGGCATGGACACCACATTATGGCTGCTGGTCTACAGCAGTGTTTTTCAACCTTTTTTGGGCAAAGGCACACTTGTTTCATGAAAAAAATCACGAGGCACACCACCATTAGAAAATGTTAAAAAATTTAACTCTGTGCCTATATTGACTATATATAAAGTAATTCTCTTGAATAGGAATCAAATAAACACAAAGAAAGTATTTTATAATTACTTTGTTATGAAATATTAAGTAAACAAAATAGTGAAAAATTATAAAATTCTTGTCTTGTCTGCACCTACGGCACACCAGGCAACATCTCGCGGCACACTAGTGTGCCGCAGAACAGCGGTTGAAAAACGCTGGTCTACAGAGTGAAGGCTTCCAGGCCCAGCCCTGACTCCTATATCTTAGAGGCTTTGTGGACAGCAGGCTAGGTGCCCATTGCTGGGGCCTGGCCTTGCCATTAACCCTGTGATGACCTCAGGAGAGTGACTCGACTTCTGTGCCTCAGTTTCCAAACATTCTACAGCTCTGTGGTCCCCTCAACCCTCTCACCGTGATGAACTCCCACCGTTAGTTATTCACAGTGTTAGGTTGCCTCCACCCTCACCAGGCTCCCCACCAACCCAGCCTGCAGAGCCTCTGGCCCAGTCTTTACATTAAGTGCATCATCCTCATATTTGCTGGGTCCCCCTATTGTCCAGCTGCTTGGCTCATGTCAGGTAGTTGAGATTTTACTTGTGGGGAGGAGGTTGGAGCAAAGGGCAAAAATGCAAATACAGGGGTAGGTGCTTGTCACTCACCTCACAATTCCCAATGGATGAATCTGTGCTTACATCCAGATACGGGAGACTAGCTGGATGATTCTTAACATTAGTATTTTGACCTTGCCGGTCTTTTTAAAAATCCTTCCCAAGGATATGTTTTTACTGATTTTAGAGAGCAAGAAAGGAAGAGAGAGAGAGAAGTATCAATGTGAAAGAAAAACATCAATCAGTTGCCTTCCCTACATGCTTTGACCAGGGATTGAACCACAACCAAGGTGGTGGGAATTGAACCTGCAATCTTTTTGGTACATGGGATGATGCTCCAACCAACTGAGCCACCTGGCCAGGGTATGCTAGTCTTTTTTTTTTTTTTCTTTCTAACCTTTCCATTACATAATATAGGCCTCTGAGCATTGTGATTTCATCTGGTAAATAGTATACTTGGGTTCCAGCTCAGGCTTTGGAATGACAAGGCTGTGTAATGTTTTTTTTGGCTAATTCTCACTCAAGAATATTTTCTCCATTGACTTTAGAGAGAGTGGAAAGGAAGGAAGGAAGGGTAGAGAGAGAGACAGAAAGGGAAACATCGATGTGAGAGAGATAACATCAATTGGTTACCTCCTGCACATGTCCCGACAGGGGCTGGGAATCAAACCTGAAACCCAGGTAAAGGCCCCTGACTGGGAATCAAACCTGTGATCTTTTGGTGGATGGTTCAACGCTCTATCCATAAAGCCACACCAGCCAGGGCAAGGCTGTGTCATTTTGATCAAATCAGGACCTCAGTGTTCACTTCCATACACTGGAAACAACAATGCTAACGTTCATTCAGGGCCCATATGAACTGAAGGGAAGCCCAGTACCTGTCTCATCTCAGCCACTGGCTGATGGCCCGGCGGGGATGCTGGCTGGTGGCAGGATTTGTGCTGAGCTGGCCGGAAGGCCCCAGCGACACCCTAATTGTGTGTCTGTGTCCCCACAGCGGCCAGTTTGCCATTGTGAAGAAGTGCCGGGAGAAGAGCACCGGGCTGGAGTACGCAGCCAAGTTCATCAAGAAGCGGCAGAGCCGGGCCAGCCGGCGGGGCGTGTGCCGGGAGGACATCGAGCGGGAGGTGAGCATCCTGCGGCAGGTGCTGCATCCCAACATCATCACGCTGCACGACGTCTTTGAGAACCGCACCGACGTGGTGCTCATCCTGGAGCTGTGAGTGGGCTGCCGGGACCCATGGTGGGCAGCAGGGGCAGGCCAGGTGGCAGGAGCTCCAGCCGCAGGCCCCAGAGGAGGCAAAGTTAGGGGTGGGTGGTTGCCCTCAGTGACTCCTCCCCACCCAGCCCAGGCTCCTTCCAAACCTGGGGAAAAGCAGGGCCAAGCAGCAGGAGAGAGGTGACAGTTAGATCTGGCTTTCACGTGCCCTGGGGATCAAAGGGAAGGGCTGGCTGGCTCTGGGTCATTTCCTGGCTGGCAAGCAGGTGGGAGGATGGAGCGGGGAGCGGAGGGGGCAGCAGGGGAGATGGTCAGGCAGGGGTCTGTTCTGTGACCAAGGGAAACAAACATCGTTTGGGCTCTGCAAAGCCCTTCTCCAGCCCTTTCCTGGGAAAATCTGCTGCATTTGTGCTGTGATGCCTTTACTGTTATAATAACTATTATTTAGAGAGCATTTGCCACATGTTTCATGCTTGTCATGTTTAGTCCTCACGGGGACTAAAGGAAGTATCCCACTAACACAGAGGCTGCTTTACAGTCATTGTGCCAGACACGTCTCTTACCTCGACTATTCCTCATACTAATCCTATCACACAGACTCTCCTTATTCCCATTTTACCAACAAAAACACTTGGGCCAGGTCACTTACCGGATCTGTTAGCCAGGAAGTGGTGGGGTTACCGGACCGAACCAGGCCCAAACTTTCAGTAGTAGCCAGCCAAAAGACAATGCAGATGATTTTATGAAAAGGAACTTAATCGCAGGCTTGTGCACAAGGAACATGCTGGGGATCACTCCCAGAACAGTGTTCCTCAAGCAAAGCATCTGATCCAACTTTATTGGGGGAAATCGTGCATAAACATCAAGGTGAGCTTTGTCATGGAATAGATAGGTGGGGACATGCCAGGGCACCGACAGTTAGAAAACTGCCTGTACATATATTGCATATTCAAAATTGATGGGAAATCGCCTCTGGTTGGAGATTTTAGTATTATCATGAGAATATAATGAGGAAAGTTCAGCAGGAGGTCACTAGAGGGTCTTTCAAGCTGGTCTCAGGTTTCAGCTGGTTCACTCCCTGGTCCTGGGCTTGTTCCTGGACAGTCCCTGGCGATGCTCTACTTTGGGGATTGCAGTTGTTATTCTTTCAGATAAACCCTCAGGACTGGGATGACCAGGCTGACATTTTTAGGGCTCTTGATCTCCTCACTTTCATACATGGATGTTGGTTAACCAGTACCACCTGCAACACCACAGGGTTCCTATTTGCTGGCAGCCTTGCTAACCCTGCGTCACTTATTTTAAAACAGGGTTCATTAATTATTGACCTGTATAGTTAGAAAATGATACTTTGTCGTCATTTCTTTTGTTATTGTTAATCCTCACCTGAAGATATTTTCCTGCTGATCTTTAATGAAAGGGGGAGGGAGGGAGAGAGAAAGAGAGAGAGAGAGAGAGAGAGAGAGAGAGAGAGAGAGAGAGAGAGAGAGAGAGAGAGAGAGAGAGAGAGAGAGAGGAAGGTGAGAGAGACATATCTATTTGTTGCCTACTGCTTGTACCCCAGCTGGGTCCCAGGACTGAACCTGCAACCAAAATATGTGCCCTTGACTGGGATTCAAACCCTCCACCCTTCAGTCTGTGAGCCGAATCTCTAACCACTGAGTCACACTTTCCAGGACACTTGGTTATTTTAATTGGCATTTCTGTAATTGCTGGGGAAATTGTCTGTTTCTCCGTTTATAGAATCGCAGGAGTTGTGGTCTGGAATGATCTTGAGATGCCCCTGTTTCTCCCAGCAAGACTCATGGTCAACCAACAGTTATGTGCCTTCTTGAGAGCTGTCACCATTCATATCATCCGTTGACACACTGCTGCTCCTGTGACTTGCTTGAGCTGCTCTTCTTGTTTGAGTTCTGTCTGTTTCTAGTTTCTCCGTCTCCTCCTTACTTTCAGGCTGTCTCACAGCATCAGGGAGCCTGTCTGTGCACGGGGTGCTAGGAATTGCTAAGATTGTGCCTAAACCATGCATGCTCAGGGAATGGGAGTGAAGACCTCTCATTCCCTGAGAGGCTGACCAGGAGCCTTTGGCCTCCTGGTCCTCACTGTGCCCTGGTAGGATAGTGGGTTTGCCCAATAATTAAACATGGGTATTAGTGCCCATCTGCTCAGTTGTAATTTGCAAGTTTTGTGGTTGGATTTACATTGATACCACTGCCCCCTCGCCCTCTCAGCACCTGTTGTCTGGGGTGGGCTTCCTCCTGATTTCTGCTAAGGTGTCCAGCTCTAGGTGGACATGCTCATCCCTGACTTAGGTCCCTTTCAGCTGTTATTACCTCAGGCATGATCCCCTTAGCAGCAGCTACCTCTGGCCAGGGCTGTTGAAGGCCAGGCTGGGGAGGATTTAGTTTTCTGTATGATTGATTTCTGTATGCTGTAAAGAATATTTTCATAATCTCAATAGATTAGCTCATGTCACATGTGAAGCTTGCTCTGGAAAACAGACATCTGCTCTGGGAGGGTTGGGCTGGTCTCCTGTCCCAGGCCCCTGGCCTCTCTGGGGCTTCCTTGACTCTACGTTAGTGGAAAGTGGTACCCTGGCAGTTGCATTCCGGAGAATGGCCTGGGAGAGGGCTCCAAGGTGGAGGCAGTGCTTCTCAGTTCCCCAGTTGGAGTCCAGCTCCCTTGGCCCCAATGGATTGGTCAGCATTCTTCAAATCACTGCCTGCAGGTCATTCGGACACACGTTCCTGAAAGAGTGCTGAACGTGTTTCTAGCAGGGAGACCAACCTGCAGGCAGGAAGGAGGCAAAGGACCGATTAGCAGGAAGGGGACTGATGGTGAGGACTCTGGAAGGAGAGCAGAGGAGGCCCAACCTGTTAGGTTTTGCTTTTCATCTTTAAGCTAAACAGGTTTGGGACATGAATGGAGAGAAGCTTGGGAGGAGGTGGGCAAAGGCTCCAGAGAAGAGGGCGTGGGGCTGAGAAATCCCTGGGAGAAACTATATTAGGGGGGAAATGAACAGAATCTTGAGACGAGTTGCCTGAGTGTTGATGTGAGTGACGCCAGCATGGACCCCTAGGACTGGTATGCTCACCACTCTCCCCTTTTCTGAGTCTCTTGGGGAGATTCTAAGGGTCACTGTGGCTGTTCCCTTCTGCATTCGAAGGAGACATGGCCTCACCTTCAAACAGAATGGTAGATGTCCCCCAGAGTCATCACATAGCCTTTACATCAGGGACTTTGGGTGGCCAACACCTCTCATCACCATGATATTCTTTTGCATGTATGCAGCATTCCCTCTAAGGTGGGAATGGCCACATGGGCCCACGGTCACAGCCTCACAGGACCCAGCAGGGTCTTGGATGTTAGAGAGCAAGGGCTGCTGGGTCCTGTGTGTTTCAGAGGGGCCGCTATGGTTTTGAAACATTTCCGAGTGTTCCAGACAGGTCTCCTACAAAGGCCAAGGCTTCCCTTCTATGCAATCTGAACTATTCTATGTCATGTTTATATTTAAAAGTTTTTCTTTCCTTTGTTCTTTTATTCACCTACCTTCTATTGAATGTCTTTCCTGTTCAAGATGCTGTGGAAGCAAAGATAATCCAGCTGGGGAGATAGACAGACAATGATAAGCAGTGTGATGAGGGCATGGGTGCTGCTGAGCAGGGATTTCAGAGCATGTGCCCAGGGCCTGGGGTGGCTTCGAGCTGTCCCTTTCACCTCAGCAATTCCAGCTTTGTAACATGGTGGACCTGATGCTGAGAGGGTCTGTGTCTAAATGGTGGTTCTGCTACTTACTAGCTGGGTTACCTTGGGCCAGTCACCTGGTCTCTTGGGGACCTCAGTCTTCTCATTTGAAAAACCAGAACATGCCCTAGCTGCTTTGGCTCAGTGGATAGAGCATTACTCTGTGTACTGAAGGGTCCTGGGTTCGATTCTGGTTAAGGGCACATGCCTGAGTTGCGGGTTTGATCCCCAGTAGGGGGTGTGCAGGAGGCAGGCGGTCAATGATTCTCTCTCATCATTGATGTTTCTTTGTCCCTCTCCTTTCCTCTCTGAAATCAATATATATATATAAAATCAGAACAGAAGTTCCATCTACACCTTAGGGTGAATGTGAAAGAATGCTTGAGGAAGCACATGGCATAGGTGGCAAACCCTAAATAAACTCTAAATGAAGCCCTCCACCACTGTCAGCCCTGACAATGATGTAGCATAGCATTTACTCAGAGATCATGGTATGTATTGAGGTTCTCATAGCACTTGTCCAATTTTACAAGATTCTTCCCACCTGCCCCAGGTGGGGATGGGGCAGAGGATGACCTCACCCGTGAGACACATGGGGAAATAGTGCACCAGCCTCGTCTCACACGCTTCAGCAACTGCAAGGCTGCTCTAGTTCCAGCACCTGCCCCAGGTGGGGGTGGGGCAGAGGATGACCTCACCCATGAGACACGTGGGGAAACAGTGCACCAGCCGCGTCCCACGCACACCCAGGCTGCCACTTCAGGCCACACCCAGCTCACTCTGAGTACAGGGGCAATGCAGCTCCTGCAGACAATATGCTTGCATGTGCCATCTTATCGCACCCTCTCTTCACTCTCTCACCTTCCCCTTCTCTCTTCCCTGTCCCCGCTCTCTTTCTCTAAATATTTACTCAGCATCTATTATGTGGTAAACACTAGACATACAGATGAGTACCTAACTCATGGCTCCTGCCCTTGAGAAGCTCACAGCCCAGCAGGAACATTCGCTTCTGAAATTGGGCCATCTACCTAAGGGAGACATTTTTGGCTCCATTTGGCAGATGAAAAAGACTGAGGTGGAGAGAGACTTGCTAGGAAGTGGTAGAAGCAGCATTCCAGCAGGCCTGCACCTCACCTCCAAAGCAGGCCAGGGCGCAGGGAGTTAATGCTACGTACATGTTCCATGCTCACCCTTACCTCTGGGCCTTTGCTTGTGCTGTTTCCTGTCACACCTGTCCTCATTCTCTGCTTCCTCCATCCAGGCCCTGCCCAAGTCTCACTGCATCCCCAGCACCTTCTCCCACCACTTGAGCCTGTGCTAACCACATATAACACAAATAATCACATAATAACGGAAGTCCCCATGAATGGAGCACTATCATGTGCCAGTCACTGTGCCAAGGGCCTGGCTCGGTGCACTGGCTAATTTGCTCATCAGAACAAGCCTAGCATGTGGACCTTCTCATTACCTCAATGTCTGGAGACATTGCTGAGAGAGTTAGGGCAACTAGTCCCAGTTACATGCTAGTGTGTGGCCAGACTGTGGCCGGGGCTGGGAAGGAGTTAGTTGTCCATATAAATTGATTTCTTTATGGCGCAAAGAATATTTTCATAATCTCAATAGATTAACTTGTGTCACATGTGAAGCTTTCTTAGAGCCTCTGTTTCTTCAATGGTGAAACAGGAAAAAATAGTGCTTCACTCATAGGGTATTGTGATGATTGAGATAATGTGTATACAGTATACATAATGCACAAAGTATTCAATAAATGTGAATTACTATTATGTTGTTATTGTAAAAATACAGGCTCTGCTGCTTGAGGTTATAAATTCGGTAGGATCTGTAGTGAGACCTGGGAATCTGCATTTTAAAATGCATTATCTTGGTGATCCAGTTCTTGGACCACCTGTCCCAGGTCCCTTCCTGAGACCTTTTCCTGGAGTGAATCTTGGCTGTCCCAGCCCCAGAGAAGCACATGCAGGCTGGATACCACTGCCTCTGACAGAGGACAAACAAGCCCAGAAGGGGTGCCCGATTTAGCAAATATAAACCTCCTGCTTTGCCTGGCTATCCTAAATTCAGATAAAACTGTAAACTAGTACCTACAGGGGAGATTCTTTTTGCTCTGTGGGTCTCCATTTCTGTCACATCAACTATAAGTTGCAAGAGTGTGGAGTGTGAGGACAAAAGTATTTTATAGTTTTTAGAGATTAATGTTATTAATGGGTCTTTATGTTTAAGTTAGGGACCTTTGATGAGGCCACCTGTTATAAAATCAAAGAAAGGGGCTTTAGGGGCCATCTTGCTCAGTCTGCTCATTTTGCAGGTGAGGGAACTGAGGCCTGCCGGGAGGGGAAGTGAGTTGTCCAAGGTCAGTGCAGGGCTAGTGGGAACCTAGGTCTCCAGTTTCTGGCCCAGCATATGCTACTTTTTCCACCCTACAGCATTTGTTTCTGTCCTCTGCCACCTCAGTCATATGTGGGGGTGAGGTGACACCCAGAATAACCAGGGCCCTGGGCCTAGAGCCTTCGCAGACACCTTTCCGGTGACAGCCTCAGGATGGGTCCTGCCCTTGTGAGCCAAAGGGAAGAACACAACACAGAAGCCCAGTCAGCCCCTGGCTGGACAAAGCCCCAGAGATGGGCGAGGGATTCTGCCATGCAGGGAGCTCAGGGTCAGGTTCAGGACCTGGAGCCACCGGCCTGGCTTCTGGGCGCAGGGCTGACCGGGCGTCCCGCCGGTGTCTTGCAGGGTGTCCGGAGGAGAGCTCTTTGACTTTCTGGCCCAGAAGGAGTCGCTGAGTGAGGAGGAGGCCACCAGCTTCATTAAGCAGATCCTGGACGGAGTGAACTACCTTCATGCCAAGAAAATTGCTCACTTTGATCTCAAGGTCAGTGACGGGGGAGGGAGGTGAGGGAAAGTAATCCATTTAGGAAGAATGGACCCATGTCTCTCTCGATGTCATTGCCAAGAGGGGCCAGTGCCCACGTGGCTCTCCTCCCCCATCTTACAGCTGAAAACTCTGAGCTCCTGGGAAAGGAAGTGTCCACCTCCACAGGTTCACTGGACAGATTAGGATTTCTTCACCTCGGCGGGCTGCAGGAAGCTTCTTAATCAGACCACAGGCACCTTATCTCTTTCAGAAGCAGATGGTGTAATTTTTAAGTAAGTAGACCAATGACAGGAAACTTGAAACCAAACACATTTAACAAGATTGAACTTTTCAGTAAGAAAGCGCTAACTCCTGAGGAGGCAGATCTCGAAGTGTTCAGAGGGGACGGCTGAGGTTGGTTGGTGCTCCAGACCCACCACAGCACAGCCTCCAGCATCCTTGACCAGAGGTTGTCTACCTCGGAGCCCAGGACCACTGGCCTCCCTCCCCCACTCCACCCCGGACTGTGGCCATCAAATTGCTTCCAGGGGCCACAGGTCATTTGTGGTAACTGTTCTTCAAGGTTGAGAAAGTTCACTGTGACCACATAGGACTTCAAAAAGCAAGAATGTGGTCAAAGTAGGATGATCAGTTCCCATAGAAGCTGAGCTCCTTTGCAACAACTGATGAGACCAAAGCATGAAGCTCTTACAGACGCCCTAAGCATGAGATCTCTAACTCATGGTCAGAGGGACCTGTTTCCTGGGGAGGAGACCCCACTCATTTTTCTATCCAAAAACTCCTATTGTGTTCCAAGCACTGTGCTGGGTGCCTACAGATCCAGAATCAACTGAGGCCCTGTCTAGGCTTAGTTCCTCTTTTGCAGGGAACTTAGTGCAGGAAGCAAAAAAGAAAGATCAACAATTCTAAGTGCTACGATAGAGGAAGTACATGGGGCTGGGAGCCTAAAGGAGGGGCATTTAAGTCAGAATGGGGTATTTGAGAGGGCTTCCTGGAGAAGGTGGTATTTGGCTTGAGGCTTTTTTTTTTTTTTTTAATGAACTTTTCTTAAGAAGAATTAAGAATTTTTTTATGAAAGTAGTTTTTTAAAATATATTTTATTGATTTTTTTTTGGAGAGGAAGGGAGAGGGACAGAGAGTTAGAAACATCAATGAGGGAAACATCGATCAGCTGCCTCCTACACACCCCCCACTAAGGATGTGCTGGCAACCAAAATACATGTCCTTGATCAGAATCAAACCCGGGACCCCCGAGTCCGAAGGCCAATGCTCTATCCACTGAACCAAACTGGTCAGGGCGTGGCTTGAGTTTTGAAGGACAGGCAGGCATTATCAGAGGGGAGAGGCCTCCTTGGGAAGAGAAGCCAGCAGGCTACATGGTCCCAGAATACCACAAAGCATTCAGGGAAGTAAGGCAAAGAGTGAATGTGCTGAATGGCTGGAGGCCAGAGTCCCAGCCAGGAGGTTATACATTTCTTAGGTGAGATGTGACAAGTGTCAAACTAATTTGAGAAGGGGGCAGATGTAAGACCTATTTCAGAGGTTGATCTGAGGATTGATTGGATGCCTAATTAGATGTGGGAGATGAGAGAGAGGGCAGAGTCCAGGATGACACTGACTTGGGGGACTGGTCCAGAGGGTATGGCTTATCTATTGCTTCACAGCAACTGCAGAGGATGGACTCTGTTCCCGCACGTGTATCTCACCCCCGCACTTATTCTGCATGTGAGTGACCTGCTGGGAGTCTCCTCCGCATGGTTCCCTCCTCCTAATGCCAGTTGTTATTATCTCGCAGTATATTGAATTCCTCCAATAGAAGAGGTCTTACAGAGCTTCACTTAACGTGTCAAGGGGTAAAAGTTGGGGTCACCAAGGAGGGCGTGGCCTGAGCAGACTGTTGGACCTCAGTGTGGTAAGACATCAAATAGGAAACACTCTACCCAGATTACACCTGTGCCTCCTTCCTGGTCATACTATAGACAGTGAACTTGTTTTCATGTTTTTTTTTTTGCTGGATCCACGAGACCAGTCTCAAAATGGCCTCCTTGTCTGTTCACTAATGGGTCCACGCACTCTAAGGATACGAGGTGTGCGTGGGTGTTAGCAGCATCCTCGCCCTAACACCCACAAGAGGAGTTGTGGAGGAGGAGGAGGAGGAGTTGTGAGGGCCACAGGCCGCATGACTAGAGCAGGTTCCTGCTATATAGTTTGCTTCTATGGTGTTCGGGGTGGAGGGGGAGGGGGAGAGAGCTGGCCAGGAGTTAGCAGGTCAGGGTTTGTGTCTCCCTCTACTGTGTACCAGGATACAACTGAACCTGGGTTTTTCAGCTTCAATGCAAACAATAATACCTGCCTGGCAGAGCTGTTGTGAGGGTTAGAGAGAAGTGGCATGAAGTGCTGAATTACCAAAGAGGTGCTCTGTACTAGTAGCTGGTGTTGTTATTTCCCTGAACACACAACTCTTGTCACAGTGTTTTGGGCCCCAATAGACTAGGAAAACAAAGCATGTTGGTGCCATTTAAACTGCCCAGCTGAGATTGGTTGCTGGGTGGGGCTGCTGTGGAGGATGTCTGGCTCCTGGGTTCAGTCTGGACATTTTCCACAATCTGGAGACAGTCAGGGTTACTCCTGGATGCGGGCAGGGCGAGGATGCTGCTAACACCCCCCCCACCCCCACCCCCCGCCTCATGTCCTTAGAGCTATGTGGACTCAGCCTTCTGACTTGCCTGGGCCCAGCTAGGCCCCTTCAGGAAGTGATAAGTGGCTAGAAGTCAGAGAGATGACCTCATGGTTGGGTAGACACTTCCTGGAGGCAGAATGTGTGTGTGTGTGTGTGTGTGTGTGTGTGTGTGTGTGTCCCCTGGCTGAAGCTTTCCGCCCGCCCGAGGGGATCATGTCAAAGATCCTGCTTAGAGGGGACTTCTTGGTTCCATATTGTCTCCCACCATGTAAAATTCAATTTATATGAATGCATTATTATTCCTGGTCTTCATTCTCATTCTCAACGAGAAGGTCTCAGTTTTCCTTTCCTGTTTTATCCTTTACATTTTTATTCTGCCTCACCAGGTGAGCCAGGCTAGCCAAACTGCCCTGTTAACATGTGTCCATGTTGTGTCCACATTCCTACCCATTGACCTGCTCTCCACTCTCACTTTCCAGCTTGATGGAGGAGGGTCAGCCTTTGGAATATGAGTGGCCTCTACGCCTCAGTCAGCCGTTGTGCTGGGCACAGTGAGGCTCTGTCCCTGCTTACAACATGCTCCCAGCTTTGTGGCACAAAGCAGTCGAATGGACACAAAAATGATGATGATCATGGCATGCTGTTGCCCAGAGATCTCTGATGGATCCTTTTCACCCACGGGATAGATAAATGGCCCCATTCTCAGCATGACTTTCAGGCCTTTCTTATGCTGCCTTAGCCTTTAGTCTGGCCTCATCCACCTTCCCCCACTCCAAAACATTAGCCCCACCAACAAGACCACAGATACCGTTCTGGCCTCTCTCCTCCTCTGTTCCTGCTGTTCCCCCATCCAGGAAGCTGCTGCTCTTCCTTTCCTATGCCTGTGGACTTCCAGTCCATTCTTCAAGGCCCAGCAGAAACACCATTTTCTCTGGGAAGACTTTCTCACCCCTGTCATCTCCCCAATCATCACTGAGAACTGACCTGCCTGTCTGCATCTGTTGTCCTTTGTACAGACTACTGCTGGGAGCATTATCCTTGTGAACCTTCTGCTGCTTGTGTCTAGCGCAGAGACTCAGTGTTATGCAAATAAGTAAATGAATACCTTAGTAAGACCAAATGCATGCATGGATGGCAAAGGCCCTTTTATGTCACTTGGAAAAAGCAAAAGAGGTTGCAGGCAGGTTTCAATTCGATGATCTGAACATTTATTGAGGGACTATTTTATGCCACAGAGTAGAGTGACAAACATCAATGTAATATAGCACCTGCTTTCAAAGAGCTCACCTATCATTAGGAGATGTCATAGTGGGGTTCAAATAGAAGCGAACCCAAGAAATGTTCACTTCCAGGAGGTATTGTAAATTCTGCCCCAGCAGAATGAATATCATCCGGTGTGTGCTATACATTCGCACAGAAAGGCCTGCTGGAGTGGGTAGGTGGGTAGAGGTAGATGATGTTGCCCTGTATTTACATAGATGAGAGGGATTCTGGGGCTGACTGCCCCTCAGTACCAGCAGCACAGACATGCCTTCCACGGAGGGATTACCAGAAAATGGGGCTCGGTGCTACACAAGAACCTCACCCTGGTATGTGATCCCAACACAAATAAAAGCCTTGTAAAGGGCGTTTTTATGTGGTTTTGTGTTTATTTTGGAGTTGGGAGTTTCCTTTCTGAGTAAGGGTGTGACTCCATTCTCCCCCACAGCCTTAACCTGATTCAACTTGAGAATTCAGAAAGAGAAGATAGTTCTCAGGTCTGACTGGAATAAGAATAAGACACGAGGGTTGAATGAAATTGTATGCAAGCCAGGAACCCAAAACTCAGAAGGGACTTTTTGATCTGTATCAATAGTATTAAAAGGAGTGAATTCCTGAGCAAGATATTCCAAAACTTCAAATGTCCTGATCATCCTTTGAGCTGTTAAGTTCATAATGTGATGGGTTCTGTTCCTCATGCTCTTGTAAAAATGACACCAACAATACTTTAAATATATACAGCATGTTCTAGAATATAGCATGTTTACATCTGTTCTCTTATTTGCTTCTCACGGCCACTCATTGAGATACAAGGTATGGCCACCTTTTTACACACAAGGCAGTTGAGATTCAGAGAGGTTAAGTAATTTGTTCAAGATCATACAAGTATTAAATGTCAGAGTTTAGACTTTAACTTAGTGAGAAACATTTAACAAAGCTGGGTGTCACCAGCTTTCATTTTTACCATTCTAACAGTGCGCATTTCTTCCTTGAGTCATGCATGCCTTTTACACACAGTTAATCCAAAGGTCTGTACTGTGCTATACCAGGTAAATGT